TCCACCACACAAATGTAGAACATTCAACAAAGTGGTAGAGACAGTTATTTAATGCCTAACCCTACCACCAGTAACATTTTCGTCGTTTTTTCTTCACTTTTAATTTTTTTTTATCGGAGGCAAATACTTTGATCGATTCTGATTTTGTTTAGCCGTTGTAGACATGCTTTTAATTTATACATGCCTTACATCATGAAAAACAAATTTCAGCCCAGTGGTTACTTCTTTGTTTGTCGAAAATTTCTTTGACTAAAATTGAATCAATCGCAATATTGTAGTTTTTTTTTCTTGTTCTTAGCCAAGAAAATCATATTATCAAATTGCACTGCCATTTGGAACTCAAAAGAAATATGTTGTGTCGAAATAGTTTTTTCGGTGACTGTGATTATGAGTGTGGAATGCAAAGTGAAAATGTGTCTAATTTTTATTTTATTTATAAGCACCTACAGAAGTCTATTAACTAATTAGTGTAAATACCAACAAATCAAGAGCATGATTAGTTGAAAATATTTTGATAACTGGAAAAATATGAACTATATAATAGTGGTGCATTTGATATGATTTTTGAAACTGAAATTTATGTTCCGCCAACTAAAGATTTTATTTTTAGAGTCAAAATTTATGTTTTTGTTTGTATTTATTAACTAGACATGTGCTTCTATCATATAAAAATTATTATTTTTTTAAAGTTATTTTTATCATTTAAAATCAATTGAGATTTAAATTGTATTTTAACCATGCAACGTTTATATTAATAAAATGAATAAAAAAATTTATATATTTGTAGCATATATTAAGAAAATTAACATAAAAAAATTATTGGTGTTTCTAATTTTTAGAAGAAAAAAAATATATGTGTCAATCATGCACAAATGTACATATAATATTATAAGTAATATTTGAGAATTTAATATTAAAATTTTAGATAATGAACATATTACATTTTTCAAAAATTTGATCATTAGGAAAAAAAATAACGATTTTATTATTATGAACAATTGTATATTACCATTAGATACTAACTGTTTAATTATTCTTATTATTATTATTATTATTATTATTATTATTATTATTATTATTATTATTATTAAAACAATTGTTTATAAGATTCTAAAGTTGTTTGCTATGCTATTAAAATAATTTACTAATTGTTTTTAAAGAAATTTTTTCATGAGATACAAAAGAAAAAGATAATATTGATGTTAAAATAAATAACTTAAAACAATTGTTCTTAATTATGTAATTTATATTTATTGTGAATTATTATTAGTTGGTATTAGCAATAACTATTATATAATATAATAGAAAAATACATGATTATATTCATTATGATGTATTAATGTGAGAAATAAAAAATATTAATGATAATTTTTGTAACTGAAAATGGAGGGAAAATGTTAGAGGTTTTATTAAATAGGTAAAATTAAATGCTATATGCTAGCAATTATATATATATAGATCATGAAAAATATTTGATTTATGTTAATTTTATTTATTAATGTAGTAAAATTATATTACATAAATAAATCAAAATAAAACATTGTGTATAGATGTTTTACAAAATATACACAATGTTATTTCATTATTTAATTTTTTGTAATAATTAAACAACTTTGTTAGTGATTAATTAAAAATATAAAAATGACATAATTTTGGGTGCATTTAATGGCTGTTTGATTTTTTAGGCAAGATATTAAAAGAAATTTGAAAAATGTTGAAAATAGTATGCATTAATTATCTTTTGACTTTTCTTGCTACTAATTTTAATAAATAGAATGACTCTTTATATATATTATATATATATAGATTATATTATATTTTTCTAACAATTTTTAAATAAAATATCAATGGTTGAGCTAATAAAGTACAAAATCTAAGGCATAAGACATAAGAGCAACTAATGTACCACAAAAAGAAAAACTGGTAACAGAATATGTCAGATACAAATCGGTCCGATCTCAACTGTTCTTAAGGGCACTGCATATGGTTTTTGAGATGGTATTTATCATTGGGGTCCGATCTCAACTGTTCTTAAGGGCACTGCATATGGTTTTTGAGATGGTATTTATCAGTGGATGACCGGCTTCAGAGGGTGAGCTCTGAGCTTTGATAAGTCCAAGCTTGCATCCAGCTCTTCATCTAATTCTCCGACAATGCTTCTGCAGATGTAAGATTAACGAGTCAGGTTACTCGATTCCATAACAAGCGTAAATCTAGGGTTCAAAGAAACCAAAACACCATTAAAAGTTACAACAATTAAAGGGTTAAAAGGAATATCATACATATTATCGCCACGTATTATGTAGAGACCCAACACAAGCTGCTGTACACCTTCCTACAAGAAATGATAATCAACAGAAAAAAAGTCGGAGTTTAACTAATGATTTGATAAAAGAAAAGTACAATTGTGAATTTTACAGCAGGGAGTAAATACTCCCTAAAGACATGTTAGGATAAGTGAGTTTTAATGTTTAAGATAATATATTATGTTGTATGTGTGTGTGTGTGTGTGTGTGTGTGTGTTTGGTGGGTCCAGTAGGACCCCTTCTTATAATGAACCATTGGTCCTTACATTCTCATTATAAGAAGGGGTCCTATTGGATCCACCCCATATATTATATATATACATATATATATATAGTAGTTACCATGTTCAGTTGCAGGAACAAGTTGTCACCATTTGTTCTTGATACTATTAGCAATGTGCATTTAAGAATGCCACTAAAATGATAAAACTTGGTTACCTTGAACATAATTAAAAATGGTTCAATGGGGATAAAGTACCCAGTTGGATACAAAGACAAATTCAGAGCAAAGTTATCATCGAGAGTCGAGACAGAAAAGAAAGTTTAAATAGATGAAAAATATTCTCAGACGGGGTTTTTCTCTAAAAACAAAACATAATGCAAGAACACATGCTGGTTTGAATTTTATGTGTGACATCATACCTTGGTGGAGTATACTCGCTCATGAGATTCATCAAGAATTATGTTGGTAGCCTGATCAAAACCTTTCAAGACTCCCTGCACAAAAGATCACTTCTAAGATAAAACCTACCCATACATTTTATGGCTAATTTGGCCTAAACATGAAGCTCACCACGATATTTCGCCCGTCGTTCGTGATGATTGATATTGTTTCTGACAAGAAAGACAATAGAAGTCAAATTCCTTCCTACTCCCAGAAAATCATTGTAAGTGTAATAAGGGTTTGCTGATCTGTAACTTTCTGCACACGAGCAATACCAGGTTTACCCAATTTCATCGGACTAAAAATGAAAACTGTCTTATCAGTGAAGAATGTGCAAGTTCGTGGTTTCCCTTACCAAAGATAGCTAAGAAAGAAAAAACAACACCATTTCTCCCAACAAACACTAAATATCAGGGTCGTAAACAAATAATTGTGATGTAGTCAAGAGGATAGAATGCATACGATCAACAAGTGTCTCGAGTCCAGCTCCAGTTGCCATCTTATCCTCGCTTGCTATGAAAGAGTGATAAAAGAGTCAAGCAAATGATGTTGGGAAATTCTTGAGATTCTATAAATGGAATTGAAACTTCAGGTAGATGCTTATCAGTTAAACTGCAGATTCATTACCTTGTCCAAGTGCATATGTCAACGTAGAGAATATTAAAAGAAAAAAGGATATAAGAAAGGTAAATGTCAAAGGAAATTACAAAAAAAAAAAAAAAAAAAAAAAAAAAAAAAAAAAAAAGAGGAAAAATAAATAGGAGAGAAGAAGAGCAAAAGTTAACTCATAAACATTACTTTCTCAGAACTAACTAAAAGATGCTGCACAAATTACTCGAAATAACATGAAAGTTCTGGGATGATGAAAAAAATCATCTAACAAGAATGGAAAAGTGTGCGGCCACTCAGTCGCAATGAAATCCTTAAGAGTGCTCAATGCATCTTTATCCAAAGGTGTGATAAAAGTGTGAATAGGACCAATTGAACAAGATCCTTTTGAAACACAGTGCATCTCTTAGCACATTAACTTTTACCCAAACAAATTTAGTTACAACTCTTTCAATTTATATCAGCGGCCTATATATGAACTAATTGACAATCAAATTCAACTCGTCAATTATACTAACAAATGTACATAAGTGTTGTTAAATTAAACTCTGGCTGGGCTCGAATTCGAGGCTTTAACGAGTCGAGCTCATTTAAAGCTCGCTTGACTAACGGCTCGGTTCGATAAGGCTCGAAAATAGAAGTTTTATAGTTCGACTCGTTAAAGCTCGAAATCGGTTCGTTAAGGCTCGAGCTCGAGGTCTTAAGGAACCGAGCTCGGCTCGGCTCATTAAGAGCTTGAGCTCGAACTTGAGCACCCTAAGCTCGAGTTAGACTCGGCTCAACTTGTTTACAGCCGTAACAAATCCACATACATAAACAAACCATCAAACTCACATTATTATAGCTTGATTCAGAAAAAACCATCAATTCAAATAGAAATAGGAAACTGCTACTACCAAGAAATGATTAAAATCGTATGAGTACCACCTAAAACACCTTAGCAGCAACAGAAAAGTGATTTTATCCGCAGATCAACTTCCCCTAAATAAAAAACCAACTGATAACAAAAGTTATCCGCAGACAAGATCACTCCATAAAAACTAAAGTATCTGCAGATATGAACAACCAATTAAACCTAAATCAACAACTAAAATAGCTATAGCTAAATCATACCAGAAACCTCTCATAACGAGGACACTCAAGTCGCTTGAACCTGACAGATCATGGCAGTACCTCTTAGATCTCCGTCTCACCTGCTGCAGCATCATCGTCATCTTGGATGTAGATGTTGAGGTAAACGAGTACTTCAACCAGAAATGACCTGAAGCCCTCCTTCACAAAGTTGCAGACGCGTGTGCCAATACCAGACGCAAGAAGTTGTTGCCCCGCCGGGGGCTGGTTCCCTGAGCATCCGGAGTAGTCACTGCTCTCGCCTGTTAGTCCGCCAACTCTTTCTCGGCCGCTGCCGACCGCATCCCTTTCCTCCAGTGTCTTGTTCACCGCCTCTTGCACGCCAGTTGCACTGCCACGGCCGCCTATGACCGCCTCTTTCCGCTCAAACATATCTCTCACTTTCTTCGCGGCTTTGCTGCGGGCGTGCCTTATGATCAAAAGAAGAAAGGACAGAATACCGATTATCGCAAGATCCAACTTCTCCATCTTGCTTGGCGCGTCGAAGAGGCCAGCAATCAAGCTCGCCAAGAAACAGTCGAACAAACTAGTGTTTTCGACCAACCCGGAGGCATTTGAACGAGAATGATGTGCACCAAAAAGGCGAACCAGATGACCATCGTCCATCCATTCTTTAGAAACAGGGCAGAGAAAATACAAATCAATATGTAAGCGGCGTCCAGGAGGACGCGCATCTAGCGGCGTACCTTCAATGGCTTCGTCTCAGCCTTAACAGCCCTGCAGAGGAGGAAGCACGATTCGCAAGCTAAATCCAACTACATCAAAAGCACGAAAAGACCTGGTAAGAACTCGCGAATACTGTTGTCGACCAAAAAGAGGTCCGCTTACATATTGATTTGTATTTTCTATGCCCTGTTTCTAAAGAATGGATGAGCGATTGTCATGGTTCGCCTTTATGATGCACGTCATTCTCGCTCCAAATGCCTCCGGATTGGTCGAAAAACACTGATTTGTTCGACTGTTTCTTGGCGAGCTTGATTGCTGGCCTCTTCGACGCGCAAAGCAGGATGGAGAAGTTGGAGATTGCAATAATAGGTATCCTGTCCTTTCTTCTTTTGATCATAAGGCACAGCAACGAGCACGCTTGCAGCAAAGCTGCAGAAAAATTGAGGGATAGGTTTGAGCAGGAAGAGGCGGCGAGGCGGTCATAGGCAGCCGTGGCAGCGGCGGTGCAACTGGCCGTGCAACAGGTGCAAGAGGCGGTGAACAAGACACGGGAAGAAAGGGATGCAGTCGTGCGACAGGCAGAAGCGGCCGAGAAAGAGTTGGCGGACCAACAGGCGAGAGCGGTGGCTACTCCGGATGCTCAGGGCCCCGACATCAACTTCCTGCGCCTGGTATTGGCACACGCGTTCGCAACTTTGTGGAGGAAGGCTTCAGGTCATCTCTGGCTGAAGTACTCGTTTACCTCAACATCTACAACCAAGATGAAGATGATGCTGCAACAGGTGGGACAGAGATCTAAGGGGTACTGCCATAATCTGTCAGGTTCAAGCGACTTGAGTGTCCTCGTTATTAGAGGTTTCTGGTATGATTTAAGTATGGCTATTTTAGTTGTTGATTTAGGTTTAACTGGTTATTCATATCTGCACATTCTTTATTCTTTAGTTTTTATGGAGTTGATATTTTGATAATGTCAGCGAATAACTTTTGTTATAGTTGGTTTTTGATTTAGGGGAAGTTGATCTGCGGATAAAATCACTAATTTGTTGTTGCTAAGGTGTTTTAGGTGGTACTCATACGATTTTAATCATTTCTTGGTAGTAGCAGTTTTCTATTTCTATTTGACTTGATAGTTTTTTCTGAATCAAGTTATAATAATGTGAGTTTGATGATTTTGTTTATGTGTGTGGATTTGTTACGGCTGTAAACAAGTTGAGCCGAGCCTAACTCGAGAAGGGTGCTCAAGTTCGAGCTCGAACTCTTAATGAGCCGAGTCGAGCTCGCCTCGTTAATACCTTGAGTTCGAGCCTTAACGAACCGATCTCGAGTTTTAACGAGTCGAACTATAAAAATTTATATAAAAATTCTATTTTCAAGCCCTATCGAGCCGAGTCGAGCCATTAGTCAAGCAAGCTTTAAAAGCCTTGACGAACCGATCTCGAGCTTTAACGAGTCAAACTATAAAAATTCTATTTTCGAGCCAAGCCGAGCCGTTAGTCAAGCAAGCTTTAAATGAGCTCGAGATCGACTCGTTAAGGCCTCGAACTCGAGGCGAATTCGACCCGTGCCAGATTCGTTTAATTTAACAACACTTATGTACATTTGTTAGTATTATTGACGAGTTAAATCATGACAAATCACAAGGTTCAGATGCAGAAAAAGCATACCCATACCTTATTCATGGCATCATGTATTTTTGGAGGATAAAATCAATACAGAATTTTCATGAGACCATCGTTCTACATGGAACCAAAATTAGGTAGAAACTTCATCAACAATTTCTCACCAAAAACACTAATCAGACTTCTTCGAACGAAGAACGCCTGTACATAAGCACCTAAGAAATCATGCTAAACACATTGAAACAAGAGCTACAAATCTATAACAGAAGACTTATTAATTTCAGCTTCACCGGCCATGGTCGCAATTATTGCATTTGTACATGTGATTAGGTCTCAATGGCATCAAGAACCAAATGTAACGGCAGATTATCTTTTTGTTTCTTGATTTTCGAAGAGCAGGAATTTAGCAGCGACCCAAGAAAACCCTAACCCAGGATTCAAACACAAAGTAGAAAAAAGTAACAAGACTATTACCTCACGTAACGGGAAGCGTAGGACAGCACCGCGCAGCGGCCAAGGAGCAGCTGAGCGACGGCGGTTGTGGCCCTTGAGGAGGGTGCGAGACCGACCCTGTGAGAGTGAGGAAATAAACCGTGTTTTCTTCAGCCTTTAGTTAATCTTGTCCTTTTATACCATAGATCACCGCTCTAGTTTTAATTTATTTGACCTTTCTAATAATTTTTTTTTTAAAAAAAAAATCTTTAATTTTCCTTGGATTAATTGATTGATATTATAAAAAATATGCGAAGTTAACTCGAAGACACGGTCGGCGATGTACGACTCTGACGTCATCCTTATAGTAGAGTTTTGGGGGTGTGAACGTTTGCAGAGTATCGAGGTTAGTTCTAGGAGTATATCTTTTGATGACTTTAGACTTAATATTTTTTTTTTTCGAAATGATAGGAGATATTATAAATCAAGATGCATAAATGTGCGAACACACAACAGCCAATGGCTGAATACATAGCAGCCAACAGTTGAAAAAGTGGGAGGACAGGTTAGAAGACCGCCTAGAGTCCCGCTAGCAACGCTAGAATAAAATACTCGCAACAGACTAACCAACTACAAACTACAACACACAAACTAAACTAAAACAAACTAAAAAGATCCCAACATGGTAATACCCGAGTGTCGGATCCCATCGGGATAATAACGTGACATTCGGGCTCACAGAAGCAAACGCCCAGACAAAAAAAAACAAAGAATAACACTGATAACTGAAAAACAGACCAAATACTAAAAACAAAAAAGAAAGAAAACACAGCCTCCCCCGCCCAATACATCTAGATAAAAAGATAGACAACTAACTCCACAGACAGCTCCAAAGCACGGAAATAACCGCCCGCCACTGCAGAAGGCCTAGCAAGACGGAACCCGCACCTCAGGACCAGCCGAAGAGTTGGCCCGCACTCCAATCACGAAAGGCAGCAACAACGCCTCAACCCAGCCTGAAACGCCTTGAACACGACCAGGTAGCCGAGCACTAGCCGGAAACAGTAAACTGACCCCAGTAGAGACTAGAACCACACACAGTGAACCTCCAACACCAACTCGCCAAGAAGCTCTCCGGTCACTGACGCAATAGAGAAACTGAGACAAAGCAGCAAAACGAATCCATACCTTCAATTGACCCGACCTAGAGCCAAAATAGGAGGAAGCCCACGCCGCTCGCCGCTTCGCCGGTGAAAAGGCACCGTCCTGACCGGCGACGAGAAGGGCGAAAGGGGGGAAAAGCGTCCCAGCGGCCCGGTCGAAACCGAGAACAGCCAACCTTTCCTCGTCCATGGACCAGCACCACAGCCCGACCTCCGCCGTCCCATCCTGAACTCCGGCGACCAACAGTTGAGGTTGACTTTTAATTTTAACATTGGATATTCAAAGTCCTCGAAAACACACATGTTGCTATTTTATAAACCTACATGCAAGGATGTACATGGGTCGGGTCGAGTTCGGGTTTTGACAACCTCGACCCACATGTAATTTACCATACACAAACCCGACCCGTTACCCTGCTAGTGATCTTCGGGTTCAGTTTGAGTTCTACCCGACGGGTTAGTGGATTTTCGTCGGGTAAACGGTAACCCGAGTTCATAAATTTGGGCTTTACCCGACTCATCTCGTTTCGTATGAAAAAAATAAAATAAAATAATTTCACAATTAATTATTATGTAACAAATAATTTATTAACTAGGTTTGACAATAAAAAAATTAAAAAAAAAATATTTCTAAAATAAATAATGAGATATGATTATTTATCTTTTATAGTCTATTTAATAATATAACATTTAAAAATTACGTATTTAAATTTTTTATTGTACAATTTAAAAATTGATAACAAAATCATAAAAAAGAAATAAAATTTAACTATTAATCAAAATTATAATACATAATTTAACTTTTAATATTAATAACACATGACTAATTTTATATATATAATAAGTTATATAAATATATATATATAATAAGTTATATATATAAATATATATATATATATATAATATAAGTTATATATAAATATATAAATTTATAGTTATATTAATTTATATATATATATATATATATATATATATATATATATATAAGATGCAATGGTTTTGGGTAAATGGGTCGGGTGATGGGTTTTTCTAATATGCCCACACCCGACCCGACTAGGGATGTAAATGGGTCGGGTTGGATACGGGTTGTTTTTTTTTGGCAAACCCGAACCCGACCCGGAGATAATTTACCCAACCCAAACCCGACCCGTAACCCGACTAGTGATCTTCAGGTTCGGGTTGGGTTTTACCCGGCGGGTTAGTGGATTTTCGTCGGGTAAACTGGTAACCCGAGTCAAAAATTGTTTTAACCGACCCATCTCGTTTGATATGAAAAAATAAAATAAAATAATTTCACAATTAATTATAATGTAATAAATAATTTATTAACTAAGTTTGACAATAAAATACTATAAAAAATTATATTATTTTTGAAATAAATAATGAGATATGATTATTTATCTTTTATAGTCTATTTAATAATATAACATTTAAAATTAAGTATTTAATTTTTTTATTGTAAAATTAACAAAAAATGATAATAAAATTATAAAAAATAAAATAAATTTAACCATTAATAAAAGTTATAATAGATAATCTAATTTTTAAAATAACACATGACAACTTTTATTTATTATAAGTTATAATATATATATATATATATATATATATGTATGTATATACATAATTCAATGGTTGCGGGTAAACGGGTAGGGTAATGGGTTTGCCTACTATACCCGCACCCGACCCGACCCGACCCGGGGTTCGGGTAGCATAAGTCTACCCT